ATAGAATAGAATAGAATAGAATAGAATAGAATAGAATAGAATAAGGAATGGAATGGAATAGGAATAGCAGAGTAGGGAGGGACCTTGGAGGTCTTCTAGTCAACCCCCTGCTTAGGCAGGAAACCCTACATTACTTCAGACAAAGGGTTATCCAATCTCTCCTTAAAAACTTCCAGTGTTGGAGCATTTACAACTTCTGATTACAACAGTTCATTTAGTGCCTGTTCAAATTACAACATCACTGGAAAAAATTGACTTATTCCCACTTTTCCCACTTATAACTATTGCAGCATCCCCCTGGTCACATGATCAACTTTTGGCCGCTTAGTAACTGGCTCGTATTTATGACGGTCGCAGTGTGCCTGGGGTCATGTGATCCCCTTTTGCGATCTTCTGGCAAGCAAAATCAATGGGGAAGCCAGATTCACTTAACAACCGCGTGGCAACTGCGGTGATTCACGTTAACAGCCGTGGCAAATTGTAAACTGAGGCAAAATTCGCTTAACAATTGTCTCACTTAGCAACAAAATTTTGGTCTCGATTGTAGTCGTAGGCCGTAAAATTCATTGTTTGATCCCACAACCACCCGGACTCTACAGTAGTCATAAGGAATGGTTGTAAGTCTCTTTTTGCAGTATCGTCACAACTTTGAACAAACAAATGGCCATAAGCCAAGGACTACCTGTATTGGTTGTGCTGAAGAAAGATGATTTCAGGCAATTCCATGGAGGTTAAATCCAATCAATATTAAATTTCCCCTGTTTTCTTGCCCTGTTGAGATGCCGTCTTGTGACTGACCTGATTTACGACAGTCGCAACATACGATTGCAATGGACAGGCTCCATTATGCTCATATGCTGGAGATTGCCTATACACATTTGCAGCACCTGATTTTGGTCTGTCTTTCAACTGTGTTTATCTTATCCTCTGTGGGTGTATTTATTTTGTTTTGTGGGGATCATAAAACTGTTACCATTTTGAACAACTCTGAATAGTTGGGTTATAAAATGTACAAGAGGATAAGCAAAAAACAGACGCACAGCATAATCACATATCTCACACAATTAGTGCTAAGTGTAGCTTGATGGAAGGTAAATCGTATTTCTTTGTCTGAAATATATGCATTTTTCTCCGTTGTTTTAGCTGCAGGATGCCTTGAAATGCCAGCACTGTAAAAAACAGTTCAAGTCCAAAGCGGGGTTGAATTATCACACGATGGCAGAACACGTGAACAAGGTATGGACCTCATGCGTGTAGATCTGTGTCCAGCGTAGATTGCGTCAGGTTTCCAAGTGATGACATCCATTTAAAAAAGAAAAGAACAAAGTCCATCTTCCAAGACAATTTCTTTTATTTAGGAAAGCATCAAATTGGCAAAGTCCGTGGTAATTCCGGATCTGACACAACCCGGAATTACCCCACAATATTAGAAGTTAGAAACAACCCTCAAAAGTCACATTCTCCAATAGAAGTAATTCAACGTTGCTTGATGTCATAAATCTCCACCTCAAGGGGCCTAATTACCGACAGCTCGGTTTCCCACGGGAAGGAGAACCACCTAGCCTAAACAACTCTCTCTATCTCCACTCCTCCCCCTTTGGAATGTGGCAGGCCCGAAACCCTTCTCGCCCATGACTGCCAAAGAGAAAGTAAGAAACAGAATCGATACTAAGCCTAACTAAAATGGCTACACATATGTCAATATCAGGCTTGACAGATTGTGCGTGTAGATGGCAAGGCAAGAAATAATAGGTGGAAATGCAGCCCAGGGAAACCCAACCTGGAAATAAGGAGGAATTTCCTGAGAATGAGAATGATTAATTGATGGAACAAGTCGGCTGGGGGATTCTGGGAGTTGAAGTCCACGCATCTTAAAGTTGTAGATTTGAGAAACGTCGCTCCAAGCTAATGTTTTCCAATTGGGACAAACTTGAGTAATTTTAGGAACAGGGTTATTAAGTCAATCTGGCTTCTCCGTTGACTTTGCTTGACAGAAGGTTACAAAAGCAGATTACGTCACACACACACACACACACACACGCACACGGGACACTGCAACCGTCCTAAATGTGAGGCAGTTGCTAAGCCTCCAAATTCTGATCAATTGACCAACAGTTGTAAGTGTGAAAAATGGTCATAAGTTACTTTTTTTTCAGTGCCGTTTTAATTTTGAACAGTCACTAAATGGACTGTTGTAATTCAATCGGCATAGAGAGCTGGAAGGGATCTTAGAGATCTTCTAGCCCTCCCCCTACTCAAGCAGAAGACCCTATGCCATTTCAGACAAGTGGCTCTCCAGTCTCTTCTTAAAAGCCTCCAGTGATGAAACACCCACACCTTCTGGTGGCAAGCTGTTCCACTGGTTAATTGTCTTCTCAGTGTGGGGAAGTTTCTCTCTTATTCCAGGTTGCTTCTCTCCTTAATTAGTTTCCATCCATTGCTTCTTGTCTTGCCTTCAGGAGCTTTGGAGAATAGCTTGACTCCCTCTTCTTTGGGGCAGCCCCTCAAATATTGGAAGGCTGCTATCATGTCCCCTCTAGTCCTTCTTTTCTCTAGACTAACCATACCCAGTTCCTGCAACCGTTCTTCGTATGTTTTTGTCTCCGGGCCCTTAATGAATTTAATTGCTCTTCTTTGCACTTTTTCCAAAGTTGAGGTTTACCTGTACAGTTGATGTGAGTGGGTAATTATTTTTCCCTCCACCGATTTCCTTTTTTCTAGACTGCTCCTGTGGAAGCTGCAGTCCCTCTCAGCGAACTAGGAGACAGGGAAAGGCTGAGGAAAATGCTAAAGCAGATGGGGAAACTCAAATGTCCAAATGAGGTACGGATTTTGCTGTCTGCTAGGACGTTTGTAACACAGTCAGCTGTACCAACAGCCGAGAATGTTTGGAGCTCAGGACTGAACGGTGGGATCCTTAGTGCTCTCTGAGGTTGGTACTTTTCTTGCAGACATTTCATTACCCCAACTAGTTAACATCCTCAGGGCTAGAAGGGAAGTAGGGTTTGTGGAGTGGAAGAGGAAGAGGGGGACTATAGGGTCCTTGGTGGTCTCTGAGCTTGGTTCTTTTCTTGCAGGCGTTTCATTACCCAACTAAGTAACATTGTCAGGGCTAGAAGGGAAGGGGGTCTGCAGAGAGGAGGAGGAGGAGGAGGAGAAGAAGAAGAGGAAGAAGAAGAAGAAGAAGAAAGAAGAAGAAGAAAGGGGGGAGGGGGAAGAGGAAGAAGAAGAAGAGGAAGAAGAGGGAGAGGGAGGAAGAAGAAGAAGAAGAGAAGAAGAATAAGAGGAAGAGGAAGAAAAAGGGGAAGGGGAAGAGGAAGAGGAGGAAGAAGAAGAAGAAGGAAGAAGGAGGAAGAAGAAGAAGAAGAAGAAGAAGAAGAATGTCCTTGGTGCTCTCTGACCTTGCTTGTTTTCTTTCAGATGTTTCATTACCCAACTAGGTAACATCATCAGGGTTAGAAAGGAGGGAGGTTTTGCAGTTGTAGCAAATAACCACTATTTTATGTTCTTATTTCTTTTTTTTATGTCTTATTATCTTGTTACACTGTTAGGTTGTTTTCAAGGGTTGGCCCATACCTTAAACATCCTTCCTTCCTTGCTGACCTCTGACCTGCAGCCACTTCTTAATTTTTTTCTTCAGGGCTGTGTGGCCACCTTCTCCAGTCTTATGGGGTACCAGTACCACCAGAAGCGATGCGGGAAGCAGCCGTCGGAGCTGGAGAAGCCAGTCTTCACCTGCCCCCACTGTGGGAAGGCCTACAAGTCAAAAGCTGGCCACGACTACCACGTCCGCTCCGAGCATCCAGCCACGGTGAGTCCCCTGAGCCTCCCCGCCTTGTTTCCTTATCACCAACAACGGTGTTTATACTCAAAAAGCGTTATGGGTAGTCCTCGACTTACAAGCGCAACGGGGACCTTAAATTTCATGGTGAAGCAGCGTGGTCGTTATGTGAGACATCATGCGACATGATTGCAACGGGGACCTTAAATTTCATGGTGAAGCAGCATGGTCGTTATGTGAGACACCATGCGACCTGATTGCAACGGGGACCTTAAATTTCATGGTGAAGCAGCATGTCGTTATGTGAGACACCATGCGAACTGATTGCAATGGGGACCTTAAATTTCATAGTTAAGCAGTGATCATTATGTGAGACATCATGCGACCTGATTTTATGACCCTTGTGTCATTGTTAAGTGAATCCCATGGTCAGTAAGTGAATCACACAGTTGTTAGGTGCAAGAATCCATGTATCCCAGAATCAAAATTCTGAATTGTACAACGTTTGTCTGGAGTGGTATAGTAGGGTTTCCTGCCTAGGCAGGAGGGTGGGGGGGTTGGACTAGAAGACCTCCAAAGTCCCTTGCGACTTTGTTATTCTATTCAATATAGAATCCAAACAATGCTATTGGCGTGTTTGCCATTCAGCCCTTTTGTGCGTTGCGCAAACACATCAGCAGCGTTGCCTGGATGTCTATACAGGTAGTCCTCGACTTATGGCCCCAATTTTAGCCCCAAATGTCTGTTGCTGAGCGAGTCATTTGTTAAATAGGAGTTTTGCCCCATTTTACAACCTTCCTCGCCACAGTTGTGGAGTCGATCAACAGAGTTTGTTAAGGTTAGCAAGGTGGTCGTTAAGTGGCTTCCGCGTTGACTCTGCTTGTCAGACGGTCGCAAAAGGGGATCTCGTGGCCCCGGGATGCTGCAACCATCATAAATATGAGTCTCTGAAGCCTCTGAATTTTGCAGCCGCCCTACGGATGCTGCAGCAGTTGTAAGCGTGAAAAGTGGTCGTGTCACTTTTTTTTTTTCAGTGCCATTGTAATTTTGAACGATCACTAAACAAATCGTTGTAAGTGGAGGACTACCTGTACTGTACAATTTAGTGTGGAACTCCAAGTTATTGTTTATTTTGTATTGGTTTTTCTCTTTATATATAATATATGTACTTAATGAACAGTGTACTGCCTGAGTCAATTCATTTACATAGTAATACTTCTTAGCAGGGGTGGGATTCAAATATCCCAGCAACCAGTTCGCTGCCCAGTTGCTGGTGGGCGTGGCCATGGTGGGTGTGGCCTATTGGGACGTCTCGGAGAGCCGTTTTTCGCCTTCCCAAGGGTCCAGAGGCTTCGTTTTAGCCTCTGGGAGGGTGAAAACGGCCTCCCCCGGGCTCCAGAGGCCCTCCAGAAGCCGGAAACAGGCCCGTTTCCGGACTTCCGGTACTTCCGGTAGGGTCATTTTTCCCCCTCCCAGAGCCTCCATGTGGGCCCTCTACTTACCTGCATTGAAAATGGGCCACATGGAGACTCCTGGGAGGGCGGGGCCAGCCGGTCAGTTTAAATACCGGTTTGGCGAACCAGATACAAATTTAATATCCAGTTTGCTTGAACTGGTGCAAACCGGTAGAATCCCACCCTTGCTTCTTTGTACGTATTAGTAAAAATTAATAGGTTCTTAGTAAGAACTCCAAGTGTTGTGTTTGCGTTCGTGTGTGTGTGTGTGTGTGTGTGTGTGTGTGTGTGTGTGTTTGTTTGTTTATTTGTCTGTTCTCCATCATTTGCTGGGCCATAATAAACAGACTGAGTTACTGTGCAGCAATCAGTAGGCAGAGCTTTCATATCCTTCCTTTCTTTCTTTCTTTCTTTCTTTCTTTCTTCCTTCCTTCCTTTCTTTCTTTCTTTCTTTCTTTCTTTCTTTCTTTCTTTCTTT